TCATGATGTTATCACATTAGGTGCGAGGCCCCGCTCTCGGGGCCCTGGCCGGACTGAAGCCCCTCTGGCTCGGTCAGGGAGTTCTCTCCTACTTCCAGTTCACACTGCCTGTAATGAAACTGCATTTGGTGTAAGCAAGACAGGCTTTTATTCAGTAGCCAGAGAATGGAGAAGGGGAGTTTATGCTCTAAAGGTACCTTCTCCCCAAAGGAAGGAAAGTGGGGGACATTAAGGCATAAGGGGCAGATGCTTCATCAGAAACTGGGGAGAAGGGCAGAGATTTCCGGGAACAGCCAGCACAGCATGCGTGGTCCCTCAGGCTCCCTTGCACGTGGCACAGATTGTGCCCAGCAGAATACAAATCCCCCTTTGGGGGCCATGTTACATGGTAACGAAGCAAAAGTAACTTTCAGACGCCTCCAGGTTTCATCTGTGCAGGTGTGTTCCTGTGGTAAAGTCAGAGCCAGCTCAGCCTGGTTTTGTCCTGGGTCCTTGTGGCATCCTGTTGATAAAACACAACTAGCCTGTATGATTAGAAGCAGTTTCTGCACCCGAGGCCTGGGCTGCATAACATGGGTGACAATGGTTTACAATATTTTAAATATGCTTTTGGATTTTGTTTGCTAGGATTTTGCTTGGGCCAGAGAAGCCAACTCTACACTCAAAGACCAATCACAGCTCCCAGTATTAAGAAATACATTGTTCACTGGGGAAAACATTGCATAATAAAAAGTTGAATAAAACTCAGCTTTTCAATAGGATTTTACCACTTATAAAGTTATTTCCAGTTATGACTTTAAAGGAAAGGAAAAGATTTGCAGATATATATCTACATATTGCTAACCATTAATGATTACTTATTCTCTGATTCAATTTATTTTTAGTTGAATGATTGTAATTTTTATAACTAAAACTCTCTAACCTCCTGAATGTTGGAATTCATTGTCACCAATTTAATTTACTAATCATTCATTCAACACTTGCCAGGCACATGTTCAGTACTGAGCCTCCAAATATTTCAAAGGCAAGCATTTCACATGTAAGGAATTGACAATCTAACATGTATATGATCTTCTAAATGTCTCTAAGAGTTATTGGTTTCAGTAATAAATATTAGTGAGTCATAAAATACAATCCTAAAATTAAATTTTAATTTAAAATGTCTAATGACCCTATGAAAACAGTAAATTCATATTCAATTAAATTTGTAGGCAAGAAGAAAGACTCATAGTGATAAGTTTTGGAAATGTAATTCATTTATTTTACTTATTTCAGTAACAGATTTAGAAATTATTAGAGCACCTATAGACTGTCATCTAATTTTTTTTTTTTTTTAGTTAGGGATTGACACAATCTTTTTTGTTTTAACTGATGTAAAGTCAGTTACAATATGTCAATTTCTGGTGTACAGCATCATGTCCCAGTCATGCATATATATGCATATATTTATTATCATATTCTTTTTCATTAAAGGTTATTATAAGATATTAAATATAGCTCACTGTGCTATAAAGAACAAATTTTTAAAAATCTATTTTTATATATAGTGCTTAACATTTGAAAATTCAAGCTCCCAAATTTATCCCTTCTCATCCTCTTTCCCCTGGTAACCATAAGAT